CAGGAATTCTCAAATAGATTTGATATTTCTTCAGAGTGACCCTTTAGAATAAATATTTCCTTAAGGGTTCACTTGATCTATATTCATGCAGAATTTTCTAGATATTTGTAGGTTCCTTAGGCCCAATATTTAACGATATGATGCTTTACCCGCAACTTGGGATTCTTGGGGCCGTAGGAGACATTCTGAAGCAACATCCTTCTTGGTAATGCTTTATCCATAGTATTTGTAATTGGCAGTGATGGATGACATCAGGGTAGAACATAGCCCTCAGAAGGCTGCCATTATGACATAAACATTACAAAGCAGTGCTATCAGTAAATGAAATAAGAAGCACCAAATAGGAAGGTAGGCGAGATCGTTTTTTATCCTTATGAATTACTCAGCAAGGTCCTGTGTACTTAGTTGACATGTGGTGGTGGGGTGAGAGGAATGGGTATGCAAGATGTCTTCTTTACATTGTAATTTCATCCTGGTTCAAGGTGTAATTTCATTTTTATTTGCAAAATATCTGAGTCTCTAATTTGCATATATATAAAAACAAGTGATCTATACTTTTGCTCTTGGATTGCTCATGGTGTAGAGGAGACGGAATGGATAAAAGAGGATACTGCAGTAAATGGCAGAAATATGTAGTGTGTCTAGACAGGCTGCCAGACCAGAAAGAAGTAATGAACAATTTGAGGGTAGTGATTTTGTGTATTTAACTTTATATGCAAAATTGACCGTAAAGTTCTGATATTTAGTTGATAGTGCATACACAGGGAATGAGGGATTAAAATGGACTTGAAAAAATTGTTTTGCAGTTTTACAAAGGGACTCGGAAAAGCAGCAGAAAGATGTTGGTGCAGGAACTGTGTTTGCCCAACACTGTAAGATGAGGTGACTTTTGATGGAGCTTTCTTGTAAGGGGAAAATTTGGGGCAGTATATGTGCCTACAACAAGATGGGAGAAATACTACCTTTCATGGTTAAAATGGCTGCAAGTAATGAGGTGAGGTGGTGGTTATAGATGTGTATGTATGTGCATATTTAAATAAAAAAATAAAGATCCAAACATAAGTATAGTACCTAGAGAGAACATTTGGGAGAGAAACAAATTCCAGATAATGGTTCTGCATGGTCTCCAAACTCTCAGTTTCAAACATTAAACCCTCTGCTACCCTATTTGTATTTTTTTTTTGCTTACTTTAGTAATTCACCTCTTCCAATAAACCTGCTATCTATTGACCTTTTATAACTACTCCTTGTTTCCTGATCTCTCATGTTAGTCAGAAGTTGAAAGTGCTGCAGGCATGCACTTGCCTTATTTTAAAGGGATTCAGCTCTCATTGTTGTGATATTTACACATGACCTATGTGAAACTTGTGATGCATTCCAAGGGAAAGGTAGACACTTAGAATTATGCATTATTTAAAAAATAATTTTTTTTTCCAGCTGGTTATAGATTGGTGTTCCTTGTATCCTCTTTTTGGTGATATTATAGTTTTAATTATGTACATTTTTCAAGAATTTCAGGACACCTTTGAGAAGTGGGTTTGTCTAAAGATGGAATGATAATCACATATTTCTTCCTCTGCAGTCACCAAAACTGTTAAAGCAAAAATATAGGTAATTTCAGCTTTTGCCAGTCAAATAATATCAAGGTGAACTTGAATAGATACAGGTTTTTCACAGGGTTGACGGAAAAAACACAACCTTCTTCCCCTTGATTTCTTTAAGTTCTAGGATGGCAAAGATTTTAATTTTGATTACTTATTTATTTCGGGTAACTATTGTGGTTCATGGCACATGGAGGTCAGTAAATAATGTTAAACAAATTAAGGAAACATTGAAATAGAGGCTTTTTGAGCTCTGGGTTCTTTTGTTAAGACCCTCTCATCCTGAGGGAATGATCCCAAGAAAGAAGATGTAATTAAAATGTATTACTCACTTTTCTCTAAGAGGCCATCAGGACTAATCTTGTGTCTTACACTTCTTCATCTTCTTTCTCTAAGATTTCATGTCTCTAAGATCATCCACCTATATTAAGACTGTCATCCTCAGAGGGCTGTATTATCTCTTCTCCCATCTACAAACATCAACTCTGTTCTCTCAAACTCATGAAAATTCATCAGCAGGAGCCTCTATATTCTCAGTTTCTTTTCTGTGTGCTTCCAGTAATATATTGCAAAACTCAAACCTTGTCTGTATCTCAAGTACACAATGTGTACACTAGAGTACTTGGTGGAGGTGTGGTTGGGTTTTCTCCATACTCTGTTCCACAGGGCTTGGGAGCAAAAGTATAGGTCACTTATATTTATAAATATGCAAATTAGAGGCTCAGATATGTTGCAAATAAAAATACAATTACACCTTGAATCAGGGTGAAATAGCAATATTAAGAAGAATCACACATACCCATTCTTCTCACCCCATTACCACATATCAGCTAAGTGCACAGGACCTTGCTGAGTAATTCATAGCAACTTGTTTCTGTTTAGGTACTCCTTATTTCATTTACTGATAGCACTGCTTTGTAATATTTATGTCATAACGAGAGCCTTTTGAGAGTTATAGTCTACTATGATGTCACCCATCACTTCCAGTTACAAATAATATGGACGTAGCAACACCAAGGTCAGGTAGATGACCTTGCCTTCATTGCTATTTCTAAACCTCATCTCTTTTCCATCATTCCAACTTTGAAGAACCTTCAAAAAAGCTATGCCTCCCCATTACTCTTCTGTATTGAAGTCATTTCTTCCTGCCCGGTCACTACTTGATGTTTTTAAGACTTTACCACTTTGGTCACTGTCTTCTCCCTTTATTCATCACATTTGGTGACTTCAACATCCCTGTAAATGATTCATCCAACCCATGGCCTCCTAATTCCTTGACTTGCTTACTCCCAACATTTGGATTTGAAAAGCCAGCATTGTTTTATTTTATCCCAGCCTTTTTCATAGTAATACCTTAGACATTGTCATTACCAGCAATTGAATTGCTCCCAATTTTTACAACAAAGCATTAAACTTCATATCTACTCTAGTCTGTCTTTTATTGAATAATCAAGGAAAGGAAATTTATATTAAAAACAGATGATTTTTTTTTTCTGGCTAGATTCAGAGAGATGTGACCAAACAAGGGTCAGGAAGAAGACATACATAGGAGAGATAAATGAGCCTCAAAACAGATTTTTCCCTAGAGTCTGCAAAAAGGCATGCAGCCCTATTAAAACCTTGATTGTAGCCTTGCCAGACTCTAAGCAGAGGAACTCTTTGAGCTATACTATTAGAAAAACTTCTTTCTATACATTAGTGAGATAATTTGTTATTTTGTGCTTCTAAGTTGGTGATAACATGGTATGACAGCAATACAATAATACAGAAGTTAAATGGATAACTCAACCTTAACATGGCCAATGCAGAATTTATGATATTCTAAATCTTTATACCCTGATCTTTTCCCATTTTTTAACTTACTAAATGACACCATTATTGACACAGTTGTTTAGGCCAAAATTATCAGAGTTATTTCTAGATTATGTATTTTTCCTAAAACCCAAGATTCTGTATTTCATCAAAGATTTCTGGATATTTTTTCAGCTGTATACTGCGACTGACTACTTTGCTTCATCTCTGTTGATCTTTCCCTAGTCTAAGCCACCTCTTCTCTCATCAGGACTCCTGAAATAGCCACCACTCTTGCTCTTTTTATTTTATCTGAAGTTCCGGGATACATGTGAAGGATGTGCAGATTTGTTACATAAGTAAATGTGTGCCATGTTGTTTGCTGCATCTATCAACATTATCACCTAGGTATTAAGCAATCTTGCTCTTCTAACAGTTTTTTATCCATAGAGCAGCCAGAGTGATGAAGTTTTGAATATGTTAATCACATAATGTTATTTCTTCCTTTAAAGCTATAATGACTTCCCATAACATGTAGAATAAAGTTCAAAATCCAAATCCCTTTATGATGTGTTTTTTCTCTGCCTTCTTCATATCATCTCCTTCCACTCTCCTCTTTTTTGAGTGTGAACCACATTAACTTTTGTTGACTCTTCTTATACACAAAATTTATTGCTGCTTTAGATCTTTACATGGTTGCCTTGAACACTTTTTCTCTAGATCATTTAGTACCTTGCTTTTTAATATTCTTCAAGTCATTCCTCAAATATCACTTCATCAGAGAGTTTCTCCATTATTATCTTATGTAAAACAGTCACCACTACTTAGTATCTTCCTATGCATTGTTCATTACTTTTCAAAACACTCTCACGTCTTACATTTTATTGACATGTGTTTACTTTTAAAAAAATATCTCACTAGATATAAGCTCCATGAAGACAGTTACTTTGACTACCTTCAATATTGCTGTTATTGTGCTACTAAAACAGTCCCTGTATCCTGGTAGGTTCTCAAAAGTGAAAGAGAAGCCTGGGCAATGTAGCAAAACCCCATCTCTGCTAAAATTACAAAAGAATTAACCAGGAGTGGTGGCGTGCATCTGTAATCCGAGTTAGGAAGCTAAGGTGGAATTTCCTGAGCTCAGGCAGTCATGGCTACAGTGAGTTGTGATTGCATCACTGTACTTCAGCCTAGGTGATGGGAGTGAGACCCTTTCCATGGAAAGAAAAAAAAAAAAAAAAGGAAAGCATTAAACACAAATGAAAATTGTGGGCTTACTTTAGGTGTCTTGAGAAGTTTTAATTTATAAGTGTTTGACGGCACTGTGGGAAGTTAAGTGTCCTGAAGGAAAAAGTCAAACATGGAAAGATAAAACTCTCATGACGTTATGAGGCCATTTCCTAAATAGTCATATCATAATACTTCTGATTCAAATATCAACAAATAGATGCAGTAGAAACTTGGAAATCTCAGTGATTAGCTTCTTCTTATTGCTATCTGAAACCATCTCCTATCTCTATCTTAGCTTAGAAAATAATTTTTTCATATCAAATTCCAAGACTTGTGATTCACATCTCAGATATTTAGATTTGCTAGAATGGCGTTTCTTCTCTGCAACTATTTATAAGCAGTGATCAGATGGTACTCAGGAATTTTTATAGGGCGAGCTATGGTGACGGCTAAGATTCTTTCATTTTAGTATCTATTAACATCTTATTTTGGGCTTTGTAATTGTATGACGGGTTGCCATACTGAAGAGAGCATCCTGTTGCCTACTCTTCTAACTTCGTAACTCTAAGCTTCAAGTCCAAGTGTCTTATTGCATTTTTCCTTAATTTACTTTTTTGGCCTCATGGGACATGGCCAGGCTCTGGTAGCACTAATATTCATTTAGGTGACATAAATGGGGGATAAACTAGTGGCTCTGGTAACAGTGGATACTTCATATTGTTGCTCAATTCTTTATTTTTCCCTACTGATATAAAGGTTCATGGGGATTGTTTCACAATTTCTAAGATATTTCTCCCAAAACACAATGCTTTGGAAATGTTTATTCTCATTCAAAAATGAAAGCCATTTTATCTAAAAGTCTCTTGGAAGTAGTGTTGAAATTCTTATTTTTGGAGAGTAGAAGCAGTGGTTATGAGGGTAGTGGTGTCTTTTGCAGTGGTGGTGGCACCTGTTGCAGTTGTCTGTATTTAGGGTGCAGGATTAGGGAGGTCAGGATCAGTTGGAGAAATTACAGGGGAAAATGGAGGTCCAGGTGGATAGGGTCTTGGTTGGGAAGGTGGCTGTGGATAACCTGGGCCATAAGGGGAAGGAAGAGAGAGTGGTTGAATTCTCCCTGGACCATAGGGTGGAGAAAGGCGTGGTGGAAATCTCCCTGGACCATAGGGTAGAGGAGGAGATGGTGGAAATCTCCCTGGACCATAGGGTAGAGAAGGAGGTGGTGGAATTCTCCCTGGACCATAGAGTAGAGGAGGGGGTGGTGGAATTCTCCATGGACCATAGGGTGGAGGATGGGGTGGTGGAACAAATCCTGGTCCAAACGGAAAAGGTGATGGAGGAGGAGAAGGAGACAGTGGTTCAGGTGGATATGGTCCCCCGAGGCCTCTTTGACTCTCACCAGGCTGTGGAAAAAAGTAGTAAATACTTTTAAATCAGATATTTCGCAGTTAAATATAAGAATGAATGCTTTCTATGATAGGCAGAACTCTGAGATGGCCCCAAGATTCTACTCTCTGCTGGCACATACTGGCCTGACCTTATCAGATGAGCCCTTTTAAAACAGGTTCTGCAATGTCTGAAGAAGTCAGAGAGATTTGAAGCTGCAGCAAATGCTTTTCTCTGGGCTTTGAATCAAGATGCCATGTTGTGGGGAGGGCTACGTGGAAGTACATGGTAGACCGGCTACAGGAGCTGAGAGTGGCCCCGGGCTCATAGGCAGCAAAAAAGTAGGGGCGTCAGTCCAACAACCAAGGGACTGAATCCTACCAATGACCATACAAGCTTTAAAAAAGGACACTGAGCTGCAGAAGAAAAAAAAAAAAAAATACAGCAGTGGACACACCTTTTCAGCCTTGTGAGACTGTGAGCAGAGAAGCCACCTAAGCCAAGCTCAGAGTTATGGCCAAAGAAACTGAGATAATAATGAGTTTTTAAAGGCTACTAATTAGTGGTAATTTGTTATTGAGCAATAGAAAAGGTTAAATGTATCTAAGTTATGATGTCTGAACATCTATATCAAAGAAAAATGTTTCTCTTTTGCCCTCTGAATACCTGGGCTCTCAATGAAAGCTGGGATTGTATTGACTTAAAAAAATAGATAATGAACAAAAATCTTATCCTTGGCCTATAGTGAAGTCTGTCACTCCAAATTCCAAATGGAAATAAATGCCTTTGCAGCATGAGAAAAACATGTCTTTTTATGTCTAATTCAAGGGTTCAGGCTTGTTCCGGGCTTTGCACATTAATTAATTGTGAAACACATGTGAGCAACTATTTCGTGCAATGAGCTTATGAAGGAGCTGGTTCATTCATGTCATGAATGTCAACCTGGCAAGTTGCCAGGGGTACAAACATCTATTCTCTGACTCTACAGGCTGAGTAATTACAATACAAGGAGGGGTAAATGTGATCTGAAGGGAAGTGAAATGAGTGGAATGAGTGTCTGGGGTTTCATGTCAGTGTTTGAGCTCTCCTTCTGGCACATGGAGATAGAGTGAGTGTGGAATTCTTTTTGAGTCTTTTTTTCTCATCAGGAAAATGATGTTCATAAAAGTACTCACCTCCTGCAGTTGTTGTCACATTTGTTGTGAAATATCACTTGTAAAGTGCCTAGGGTGGTGTTTATCTCAGGTCTGGTTTACATAGAGTACAATTTTTAGAAATGAAAATAGCTGAGGCTGGGCGTGGTGGCTCATGCCTGTAATCCCAGCACTTTGGGAGGCTGAGGTAGGTGGATAGCTTTAGGCCAGCAGTTCAAGACCAACCTGGACAACATAACAAGACCTCATCTCCATTAAAAAATTCAAAAATAACTGAAAAGTAGTGCAAGGAACAAATACATTAGGGATTTAAAATGATCAGTTCTGGATAGGAAAACGATAAAGGATTGTCTCTGTGGGAAGGAGTCATTTGAAAAGAGGCTTAAAGAATATAAAGTAAGGAGGGAGCATGCCAAATAGAAGGAAAATATGCAAATGCTCTGGGGTAAGAATGAAGTTTCACTCTACTGACGGCAAGAAGTCCAGGTTGCTTGGAGCAGATGCTTTTTTTGGACACAAAACTACATTCACTTCTTGTGGTTCTCAGTCCCTTCACCTATTTGGCCGTTACCCTTGCTAATCCTAAACTTTACTATTACAGTAAAGCATCTCTGTCCTGAATTCCTAATGCCAGGTTCTTAACAATGTTAGAGGATGTCACCAGCACTGTACCATCAGAGTTAGCGTCCTTCAGTATTGCCTGAAATCCTTTTTTGAGTGTCTTATCTCAGATTATCTCTTCCCACTTCCCCAGAGGCCTGTAATTTTCCAAGTTGATGCCAGTTTTATCAACATTCTCCACCTCATCCTGAGCTCTCACTTACCCCCACCAAAGTGGCTTTTCTCCTGCTTCACCAAGATATTTCAGGCAATTAGAAATGAACTTCCCTGATTTACTGGTCACACAACCATGGAGTCATTGATAGCTAGATAGTTTCTTTTTCTTTATACTTGTTTTCCAAGGGACCTGGCTCTGTCAGTCTTCTCTTTTACTTTCTGCAACTGTAATATCTGCCATTTAGCTAGCTCATTTTCTTCAGAAGAACACTATCATTTATGGTCAACTCAATTTTTTTCTCCCTATCCTATCAGCTCTTCATCCCACTTCCTGAATTCTAAATCTAACCACTTCTTATCATCTTTCTTGCTTTCATTCTAATCTGTCATTTACTTTTACCCGAATTTCTATAATGGCCCGTTGATTTGACCTCTTGATTCTAATCTTGCCCCTTTCACCTAACATGTACACAGAGGTTGAAGACGTCATTTGAGAAATAAATATCAATTGATATTTCTCCGTTTATAAAAGATTCAGTTTCAACCACCAGTACCTTGTTGCTGTGACTTTCTTTTCACGTCTTTCCTGCAAAGCAAAGCTCTATGAAAGGGTATTCTAAATTTGCCAACCCCACTTCTCACTTCTCATTTGCTCTAAACCTGGCTTCTGCCCTTAACATGCCAGTAAAAGTTTTATTCATATCACCAATGAAACAAACAAACAAAAAATCCCAAGGCACTTCTGTGGGACCAGGTTCGTGTTCGTCTTCTCTAGCTAGTGATAGTTCATGGTATTATGGAGGGTGTTTGACCCAAGGACTGCCAATCCAAGGACTAGTCAGGGTATGTGGAAGTTCAGGATTTGATTTTTTATTGTCAAGAAAACAAATCCTTAGTATGGAAAATATTTCACACATTTTTATTGTTGAGACAATTAAAAATTAGCTGAAAGGAATTTTTCCTAAAGATATACTGAGGTTGATCTAAATATTATGTAATGAAAAATCTTCATAGTAAATATCGATTCTTTTCCTGATCTCTTAACCCAATCACAGTGATTAGCTCCCTTTACACAAATGGCTAAAGTAAAATGATGAAAATGATGAAAATACTATACTAGGAAGAAACACTCCCCTCCCAAAGGGTTATAATGAATGTTAATCTCCTACATTATTCAGTTTAGCAATAATCCAGCTAAGACAAGCATACTTTGCATACTTTGAATCTAAACTTATTTGTATTTTAATGAGATTAAAAATAGTGAGACTTGCTTTGAGGATTAAAAGAGATAATGTATGTAATGCATTTGGAAAATTACTTATAACAGAGAAAACACTCAAAAGTCGACAGGCTGAATATGATGACTTACCCCGCCTACAAATATATATATGCAAAGGACCTGCTACCCTTCACATTTCCAATTTTCAGTAATTATTAATCATCATTAGTCATATCAGCTGAAAAAAGGCTCATTGCTATTTAAACTGCTTATATTATTGGAAAGCTCTCTATTTTTCTAATTTATCTTATTAAAAAGTTATTTGTATAATAAAAGCCTGAATAAAATGTTTTTCTCATATTCTGAGGACATGAAAATATTGAAAATCAAATTTATGATGAAGTCATTAAGACATGACCTTTAGTGGATGTCAATACGTTTTATTGGCTTTTCAAAAATTATGTCTAGCCATAATGCATGCAGGAACATGGCCAAAGTCAGAAAACTTCAGTCATCTCAGAATGTCCTGCTTTTATTCAAGCTTTTCAAAGTAGAAGAAAGAGGTACTATTTTATGTTTCATGTTTCAGAATGATACAATTTTATGTTGCCTGCTTTGTGGAAGTCATAGTCTTCTAAAAAATCAGCTTTTATATTTTCCCATTTGATATAATAGATTTTTATGATACTTTGGGGGAAGTTACTCTGGAATTAATATCCTCTTTGTAACACTGGAATTAATTGACCCCTCTGTTGAAATTGAGTATCATTCTATTACTTTTAAAAATATGCATTAAAAAATTCTGAAACACTAGGTTAAGGGCAATGAGCATAGTTTTCCTTAACCTAGTTTTTAATATATGGTAGGTGTTACTATAAATGTTTATTATTTCCTCAAAATGTAGCATGCAAAGATTCTCCTAAATGCATCTTCCCAGGTCCCATTATGGGGTACTCTTATTAAGGCTTGGATGAGGACTTTAATACTTTGTAATAAGTGAGTTAGGTGACTCCATGGTAGGAACAACTACTTTATCTCATTTTACAGAGTTTTACCTACTGTGTAATTGCTAGAGTATGGAAACATACATTTATATTTATCTGTTTAATGCAGTCTGATATTGTAGATTTGAGCTATCCATTATGGCAGCCATCAGACATATGCGGCTATTTAAATTAAATTAGATTTTAAATTTAGATTTCAGCACTAGAACAGTGTTTCATCAATGCTTAATAGTTACTAATATATAAGAAAAGGTAACATTATTAATGTAAAAAGAAATCTGAAGTAATGGTTAAGGAGAAAAGTATAAAGATGTGTGATCGTGATTAATGATACTTACTGTGAAACACGCTGCAAGAGCCCAAAGGCCCAAGATTAGAGTCAGTGATTTCATCCTTTCGGTTGCCTCTGAAAGTAAGCACAATAGGTGATCAGTATGATTTTTTTTTATTACAAATTACTATTTAAAATGTCTCAACACATGGATATAATGTAATACAGATATACTACTGTAGCATTTTTAGGAATTTGCCTAACATTATGTTGGATTCATTATTACAGTGGGGCAACATTAGTAGGCTTATAAAATTTGACTTCAAAACAGTGGAACTAGTTTTTATTTTTGACTTGTAAGCTGATATTGGAGATAATGCCAAAGAGTTATTCATAAATGATTTGAAGAATAGAAGCTTTTATAAATGAGGTTTTTGTCTTTAGAGGTAACTACTTTGAAATGTACAATTATTTACATTTGAACACTTTTGTATATTTAAATAGCAAGTATATTGTTTTATAGATTTCTATAGACTTGGGTTTGCAATATTAACATATTAACTAAATCATGTGTTATCAATTTAATTCCTTGGGGTATCTCAAAAATAAGGAAAAGGAAGAAATCACTCTGTTTCACGTAGTGTAAGAAAAAGAGAATCATATTATATACCTCCTAGTTTTAACAACATTCCACTAAATTAATTTAGTCTGTGATGTGTGGTCTCAAAGTGCTTCCAAAAATCCATGTATGGTAGATCAAAGACCAAGTCAGAGAACATGGAGGAATCCAGGTATTTTATTCTCCGTTGGCTCAAAATTTGCAAAATATTTCAAGTACATGGTAGCTTGAATTCTGGGAAAGCAACTCCATGCACCATTGTACAAATGGCTTCCTGACAGTCAACTCTGCACATAGGTTGAGTGTGTTATCTGAGCAATGCAAGTTTTGAAAGAATTATGTGGACAAAATTTCACTGGATAATCAATTGTATGTGGGTGTGGCTATTCTCTTAAGGATTACTTTTCCCATAATCCATTCTTACGAGAAGTTTGAAAAACAAAAGAAAACTAATAATAAAAATATACTGTAGAACAATTCCCTCTTTTAAAGTGCATCTGAGAATAATCTATCATTATGAAGTTTTAAGAACTTTAAGGAACATCAAGGGGAAAAGTCAATTGTGTACTTGGATGGACTAATTGTCCCCAATGCCCAACATGAATCCTTTACTCTGACATGTGAATAACCTAATTTTTCAAAATTTGATATGTTTAATGACTTACAATTTTACATAAGTTGAAGGTGCTTATGTTTTTGGTGGTAATGAATGTCCTATAAAAAGATCATGAAAAGTCTGAGGAAAATTCTGCAGTTAATATTTCCAGGTACATACCTTTGTGTGAGGATCTGTCTTAGAGTTGATTAACCTGCTGGTCAAAATGACTCTTGCCAGTTGAAAGACAGAAAATAAAGATGAAAAGAGACAAGAAACTTCAGTTCTTATATAGTGCAAAAGATTTCTGTTGGCAGTAAGAGAAAGGATACTTGGAAATAAAATAACTTCTGGGTTGATGCTCTTCAAACAAAGATAGGAAAGTTGTTCTTGCCAAATTGGCAGTCTTATTCTGCATTTTTGGGTCTCATTTCTGAAAAGCATTGATCCATTCAATATTTGTTGTTTCCTGGGGAAACAGATACAACAAATAATGTCCTCTCTCTTCAGGGAAACAATCTGGGGCCTGTGGTGCACCATTTCCTCTTTATTTTAAAGAAAAAGCACCAGCTTTTTCTATGCCAAGCAATTTTAATGGGCCATATTTTGTATTTTCTATTTTATTTAATAGGCAATCTTTTGTATTTTCTATAGGAAGTTCCCTTTTGTCAGTGAAGAACTAACTGAGAACAACTGTGTTTTAAAAATCATGTGGTCCTTGCTGTTATTAACTTGAGAATCTTAATTAAATGAAAATATGATGACATGCAAAGACTTGATTATGGGAAAATTATACAGAAATTTTTAGTTTGAAGTGGATGTCTAATGGAAAGTTATAGCCTTGGCTTTTTGATAAATCTAGGCATTGAGAATAATTTTTCCCATGCTGGATGATCTTATAATCTCGCTTTAATACTTTATTATATAATCATAGTAACAGCTATTATTTATTAAGCCTCTAGTTTATTCCATGTGGCAGGTTAAAATGAGTTCTATTATCATCTCAGTTTTATACAGAGATGCTAATTAGCTGAGTGGAACTTGACCTTAAGTCAGCCCACTTCAAAGTCTAAGTGATTTTTTTAACCAGTATTCCATATTAGCTCCTTAATCTTAACGATCACCATACACTTAATTAACATTGTGTTACAGTACATTAGAGAGATGAATCAGTGAACTTAATAGTTCATTCTACTTCCAAGCACAGTAACAACACTTCCTTATTGGGTTATATGAGACAAAATATTTTGCCTTATTGTATCTCAATTTCTTC